CATAGTGTTTTACCTCCTCTCTACTTCATCCTTTTCTATTGGTGTTTATGACTCTATTAGAGGTGCAACACTTGAGGCATTAAGCTTTCAAAAGTCAAGATCAACCAAGGAATTCTTGTTATTACTAGATAGCAAGCAAGGTAATCTTCTAACCCTAGTTTTCATATAGGTTTCGAAATTGTATGCTAGTACTAGGGCTACTGCTTTGGAATTTCTATTTGCATGTATAACTAGTGAAAAAATTAGATCCAAAGCAATTAGGGTTGCATGATCACATAAGAATGTAGATATGCTTAAAACCGATTACCTTCAACCCAACAAGTACAGTGAAGAACACTCACCTCAAGTAGTGCGGAACTGATAAGGTCTGACTCTAAATCTCAGCTCTCGACTCAAATGCCTATAACCTCCATGTGACCAATTCCATCAAAATCCTGAAATACCCAAAATGCCCTAAAAAGTCAAACTTGGTCAACCATGGTCAAAGTCAAAGTCAACTGTCAAGGTCAACAGTCTATGTTGAACCAACACATCGAGTGCACTAATAAACTCGCCGTGCTTCCATAGCAAATAGATTGTCAGGAAAATCCCAGTCAGCACGTTGTGTTGGCTTGCAAACACGTTGTGTTTTCCCGAGCTGAATACATTCAGTTGTTCCTACGATTCTAGGGACTCCAAGAGTGAGATCTAAAATCAAATGTTATAAAAAAGATAAAGTTTCCAACTTTTTCCTTTGGGGCTACTCCAAGTGTTCAAAAACCCATCCATAAAGCTTGAAGATTCATGGGCTTAACTAATAAGCACAAAATCATTGAGATCTGAAACCTAACCTTTGTAGAAGAGATTTTAGCATCAAAATCAACCCAAAGGTTGGTGCTTTATAAACATGCATGCATGTCTTGAATCCAAAATGGGTTAAAAAGGGAAAATATGACCTAAACTCCATGTATGGTATCAAAACTTGGCTAATGACCAGATCCAAGCCACTACAAGGTCACATTGACCTGGAGATTCATAAAGTTGAAAACTTTATGAGATTCATCCTTTGCAACATCCATGAATTAGGAGAAAAAGGGACAAAACTCGAGATCTAGCTACATGGAGGAATAAAAATCAGATCTTGGACACTTACAAAGGTCCAGAAGAGTGCCAAACTGAAGATGAGAGCTTTGCTTGCTAGATCCTTGCTTCCTTCTTCCAACTTTCTTCTTCTTTTGCTCCAAAATACCACACTAGCTCACAAATGAGAGGGAAGGATGATTAGGGTTCACCAAGGCTGATATGGGTGGGGGGGGGGGGGATTGGAGGTTGATAAAAGATAATCCCTAGGGACTTAAGGAGATTAAATAGGGTGCAAAACCCTAAAATTTACGGTTTCCTATCCAGCCGCCAACACGGCGAGTTCCCTTACCAACACATCGTGCTGGTCCATTAAAATGAGCGGCCTAAAAGCTCTTCAAAATGTCGTGGTGAGGCTTCCACCACGTCGTGTTCCAGTAGAAAAACATGCTTAAAGGAATAAATCTCATACTTGGGAATCAGGATGTTACATAGACAATTAAAGTCCGTTTAACATTCATAACTTCATTATCCGACGTCCGTTTTCGATTGTCTTTATATCCTTGAGCTCCTATTAATGAGATATTCAAATCCCATTTAGGTTGTGTTGGCTAAAAATTGATCGATCTAAAATTCCATTTCCGTTCTATATATTGCTATGCAAAATCTTAGAAAAATCATAACTCTTTTAAACAAAGTCAGATTTGGACGTTCTCTATAAGCACGCTCTTGGTTTAACATATACCACAACATTTGTTTAGATTGCTAAGACTAAAAAGTAGCTTATCAAAAAATCACTTTTTACGATACGTGGCGCCGTGCCAGTTTTGTCGCAAACCCTCGACGTGTCATAACTTATTCGTTATAAGTCAGATTTCAGCGTTTCTTATATCCCCGAAATCCTTGTTACGACTACTTCAACTTTCTTCAAAGATATTGGGTTTGTTTATTATTTTATTTTTGACGCATATTTTTATTATAATTTTATTATATCATTATAAGCACATATGTTGCACATAAATCACATTAATCACATAATACTCAAATAATTCTTCTTCATTACTTCAAAATAGGTTACAATTGTTGATCCTAACTATTACATCATAATAATAATGCCTAGCCAGAAACACGAACGTTACATTATAAATAAACATATATTATGAAAAAAAATTAATAATTAAGTGACCATACATCATCGATATGTAAAAACCGGTTGCAGTGAGTCTTTTGAAATGACCTCAGTTTTGAGCATACAACAGCCTGAGGGATCATATTCTGTTGTTGGGTACCAAAAAAATTGCTCACCAGAAAAGTATCAAGAATCTATATTTGAATTTTAGCAAACACATAAATAAAAAATTGTTAGAATGTTAGCAAAAATATAAATAATAAAATTTTCATCATATGATTACCTTAAAAGCATATAAAAACCCATTTAGGGTGTATGTCATTTTTTGAGGTTGTTTCTCTTTCGGCTCGTTTGGATGTATATGTTTGTCAACCTTATAAAATACAATAACTAGCTGTTTATACAACTGATCCCAAATTATCCTCCCCGATGGATATCTACCACAAAAAATTAATTAACTATTAAATTTTTAAAAAAATATTTGTAATGATAAGTAATTATAATCAATAATTATAAAATAGACAACGTTATACCTATTGAATTCATCAAGGTGAGATAACAAAATAAAATACTCTTCTGTAAAAGGTTGTTTAGGCAACCGCTCATTGAAACTTTTCTCTAATATGTATAGAATACATATACGGACTGCATCCTCTTTCGATAATTCATTAAGTGAATGTTTAAACACCGTCATAACATCTTCTAATTTGACCAAGACATTCCTCGGTATCATAGGAAATGCACAAGAACGAAAGGCGGTGTCGATTATAGAAAGTAGGAAAATAGTCACCAAACTGGAAGCTAGTGATAAGACAAAATTCTTTCTTTCCAAAAAGACAGCTCATAACTCTCAATCTCAAAAACCATTTTCTCTACTTGGCTTCAGGGGTTGGTGAAAACTTCGTGGCAAAAAACGTAATGTAAAAGCAAATGATCCCATCTACATTATGAATGTCTAACCACCTCCAAAAACATGTATTCTGAAGCATAGTCTCGCATTCAGGTCCGTCTCTGAATGCTGCAAGAATTTGCCCACTGGTTTTGGGTTTAGAAATAGTGTAATGGATGCATCAAATACCCTATCGTACTGCACAAACCATGTTTTGAAAACCGGACCGGACCGGCCGGTTCGACCGGTTCAACCGGGAACCGGTCCCGGATCCGGTTCTTAAATGCCAAAAAACCGGTATTCATTTGAACCAGTGAAAACCAGTAAAAACCGGTCCGGTTGAACCGGCAAAACCGGTCAAAACCGGAAATTTTATAAAAATTTTATTTTTTTCATTTTTTTGTATTTTTTATATAATTAAATATAATTATGACATCATCCGGTTTTCCCGGTTTTTGAGACCGGTCCAACCGGTTGGACCATCTGAACCATCGAACCAGTAAGACGACCGGTTCGGTCTCCGGTCCGGTTTTCAAAACATTGTGCACAAATAAAAAATGTGTCATCACTTCATTCCGAAATAAAAACTGACCAATATTCCAGACCCGTTCCAGACTAGTTCCTCATGTTCCAGACAAGTTCCTCATGTTCCAACAATTCCTCGCATTTTAGAGGCTTCCAGAATGAATTTTTAAGACCCAATACACTACATTTTGATATAAGTTAAAAATACCCAAACATCTAAACTACTTTTCAGTTGGTCCTATGATAGTGACATCTTTAATTTAAACTCCGAAACATTTTCAGTTCATTCGTGTTTTACGCATTCTGGCACAGTAATTATAGATGAATAAGCACCTTATACAAACAAGCAAACTAGGTTTTTGAGGTGAATAACATACTCTTAAAATAATAGGGTCATAGTGATCTTCCATATCGGAGTTGTGTGCCAGAGATCGGAGCTGCGTGTCGGAGATAGGAATCACGTGTTGGAATCGGGATCGAAAGTCAGTGCAAAATCAGAAATAAAGGCGAGGGTCCGGATATTTTCAAATTATATTCCATAATTTGAAATTCAAAATTCTGATCTGGAACACGGACAGATAGTCCGGAATGGCAATTTTGGAGGCACGGTAATGGGCCGGCCGGCCAAAAAATTACTCTGAAAGATGTTCGAGAATACTTTATTCCTTATATAAAATGTAACTGTCTTATTCTTTAAATAAGCAAATTTAGAAAACATGTAACTTAGGATTCTTATTCATTAATGCATTAAACTACGACGAAAACCAAAAAGATGAAAATATCATATACCATAAATGTATTACGTACAAAAGAAAAGATGAAAATATCATATACCATAAATGTATTACATACAAAAAGATAAGCTGATAAATTTCTTATTTTGTATTTATTATATTAAACTGAAAAAAAAATGCACAAAAAAATGATAACGTACATGTCAGAAACAAAAACAAATTCCGATTTACGTTTCTTGTTTTCAATATTACATTGAAATATCATCTCCATAATGTCATGTGTAATGTATTAAGAATAAAGAGTATATTGATACATCTTTCTTGTTTTCAACATTCGATTCTAAATTTAAAGAAAAAAAAAACCCCCCAATCACATATATTTTAACAAACATGAAACATGCAAAGTCACCTTCAATCCAAACATATCAGTTGTTAATTAGGCCATATTTCCGCAACCATGTGAGCATTCTAATAATGTCACACAAGCTAATTCCACAAAATAAAAATAAAACGTATCTTCCACTAATCCCTTTGATAAAAACATATGCTGAACTTGAGCTTGGTTAGAAAGTCAAGAAAGCTATCTACAACACGATGATATATAGACATATATATGTAACGTATATATATGTATATTGAAAGATAAGATAAAAGCTACAAAAATTTAAGCCTTTCTAGATCTCGAATGAAGAATTATGGCCAAAAAGGTTCCTAAAAAACAAAGGGAACCCCAAATTACGAAACTTGTTTGATAACATTTGACCCCCATGCATTTTCCATTATAACCATTGGCAAGCCCTTGCTTACGATAAAGAAATGCTGCCATATCTCCAAATAAGAAGGACCCAATTGGGATATTTACGACCACAATGTTATGGTTGACACCAAAGTTCTTGGCCCCAAAAAGCTCAGCTGTTGTTGACACAGAGGCCGAGGATATCGCACCTGTGCATATCCCGATAATGGCTGTACTTATATGAAGACATATGTTGCTACCATTAAGGAGTAAGAAGAAAGCTCCTGTCATTGGGACCATCATCAATGCTATTAAAGCTGGCCTTGAAATCTTGTATTTGGCCCTGAAACAAATATTATTTTGTAAGTAAATTATTGAAATTGAAAATGTTGTTATATTGTTTGGTAGGAATGGTGGAATTAATGAGCACCAAAAAGGATGGCTCAAGGTGAGACTTACGTTTGAATTGATTTTCAACCATAAAATTCTCTATCAACAAAATTAAATGTCACATTAAATGAGCATGTAAAACACAGCCTTTTGGGGAGTCTGAATTGTAAGGTTAAACTGGTTTCCACGATAATGATTTATACATCATGCATTAAGAGTCTCATATTAATCATGAATTTATTAAGGTTTAACTCTATTGGCATATAATGAATTAAGCTCAACTATAATAGACATAGAATAAATATGTAGTTGAATGTTCACTCAGTTGTTGAATGGAAAAAACCAAGGACACGTATTCTTAATATGATGTTAAATTTTATAGAGTTGAATAGACTTATAAATTAAAGAGAAAGTTATATAAAAAATAGAACATTTTAATAGTAATCAATTAAACTTTGTAAACTAAAATGGATTCTAGATACCCTAACCAAGAATAAAGAAAATGGGGACAAAAAGAATACCAATTTAATTCCCTTTCATTTTGTATATTTTCTTTTCTTTTATGGTTTGTTTTATGTGAATAATCTTTTTTCATATAAAATGAGAAGAGTGATAAAAAAGTTGAAGACCGAAACAAATAAAACAATAACCGTTTCAACTGGTTCCAAAAAAAAGACCAGTAAATTTAAAGTTGTTAATTTGGACATGTTGGAAAATTACTATTCCCAACTTCAAGTTGTTTTAATCAACTTCATTGTGTTTTTCAGATGATAATAACGTTATCATCCTACGTACGACACTTACTCTGTTAGGGTAAACGTTAAAATAATTACCAAACTACCTTTAACTTCAATTATTTCTTAATTCTATTGCCTTGATAATAACGTTAAAGAGTGAAAGAACATTAATTAATTAAGTAAAACCATCAACCATGGTACCTTGAGAGATGGTAGTCGAGGAGGCAAGGAAAGAGTCTACCAAAGAAACCAAAAGACGAAGCCAATGAAACCAAAGAAGAAGTGTTTGAATTCCCTCTTGACTCTGCAATTTGTCCCAAATTGTTCAAATACACCAACCCAATTGTTGCACCAAACAAATACACAAAGAAATACAACCAAAAATTCAAACTTTTCACCATTACTTTAGCCTCCATCTCTTCACCATCACACATCACCACCCCTTCATCTTTCACACAGTGTTCATTCACCACCCCTAATCCGTTTTCCTCCATGCTACTCTCATCGCATACCTTCTTCCCGTAGCTTCTGATCAAGCATTTATGCTCCATTTTCTCTCTCAATTTCTCCACTAATGGAACCACTAAAGGTGCCAACAAGAACACACTCATACCAACTAAAATTACCAACGGAGTAAACATGAGTCTTTTCCTTGATTCTAAACTGGTGATCACTGCATAAGTTCCTGTAAATATGGTGATTGCAAAGATCACAAGAAACCCACGTGATAATCTCTTCGATCTCGCAGTGGTAACCACTGTAACAAATGGTGAAGTGATCAAACAAACCACGAGGGGTAGAATACTATTCAACAAAAGATATGATGTTGTTGTTTGTATTGACGTTAAAGATGATGACTTGAACACCACATCAACTACGGCTGAATAAATCTTTGCACTCAATCCTTGATAACTAGTTGATAAACCAACTGCAAGTTGTCGATCGAGTGGGAAATTCTGTATTGCAATCATGTAACAAACGGTGTTGATCCAACAAATGCTGTTCCCAGCCAAAACTGTTAGTAGAAACAAAAGACTGTAGGGAAGGGAGGAGACTTTATTTGTTACAAGGAAAAGATACTGAACGCCATAGCCTATGAACCCAAGTGAAGAACCGATTAAAAGAACAAGCCAAAGAGGGAGATGATCTGCTGCCACGCCTGATAAAAAACCGAAGAGTTTTCCAGAATCTGAAGCGAAAGCTAAATTGTTGAGCTGAAGCTGAGAGAGTGAAAGAAGCTGCTTCAGCTGGGAAGAATAAGATGGGAAGTTTGAGTTTGTTGCACTAATGGATTGAAGCCAAATTGTACCAACGAAGCTTAGCCATTGATGACCCATTGAAGAGGTTAATTTCTTGAAAATTAGGGTTATTTTTCAAGATTTTGATGGGATGGAGTCGGTTAGCGAGTGTGTGTGTTCATGTGCGTGTAGATATAAGACATATGCAGTGTAGTATATAATATGTGGTTTAATGGAATGCCACCACCATTTTTGGTACACATGCTGTTTGTTTGGAGAGTTATTAGATTAGATGCATCTATATGAATATGAATGCAGCAAAGGGCCATTAAAGAAGTGCACACGCAAGGATTACATTTGCTTACATCAATATATATGTCGATATATCGGTTTCCAATTACAAAATAATTTAAAGCTATGACTCTTATTTTCGAATATATAATTACTTTTAATTTTTCAAGATCGAAATAATAAGAACTGATTTTTTTTTTTTTTTTTTTTTTTGGATATGTTAATGTAATAAAATGAATTCCGATATAACATATTTACCTTTCGTGCGTATGATTGTTTGATTAATGATCATTTGACATATTTTTTGGGCATACGTGTAAACTTAAGGTGTACAAAATTATAAAATTTCACTCTTTTTCACTTTGCCAAAAAACTTATGTGAAGCTTAACCGTTAAAATGTGAAATTTTATAAAGAAGATTCAAGCCTCACCAACGTCGTACCTTTTTTTTTTTTTTTTTAATCATAATATATTACTTCTTATTCTTCTTATTTTATGTGTGATAATTGGTTATATCTAGGGGTGCAAACGAGCCGAGCTGAGCTCGAGCCTGGCCAAGCTCGGCTCGGGCTCGTTTAAGTTCTAAGAGGCTCGAGCTCGAGCTCGGCTCGATTCGAGCTTTTTGTAATGAGCTCGGCTCGAGATCGTAAATAATTATACAAGCTCGACTCGGGCTCGAGCTCGGCTCGTTTTTTGTCTAACTTGTCTAAATAAGCTTAAGCTCGATTCGAACTCGTTAAGAAGCTCGTTTACTAATACCCTAAATTCCTAATCCACAAATATTTTAATATATAAAAAAAATAAGAAATTATATTATATAAAGGCTCGTTTAGGCTTGCGAGCCTAATCGAGCTTAGTGACATAGGCTCGAGCTCGAGCTCGTTTAATAAACGAGCTTAATATTAAGCTCGAGCTCGGCTTGGGCTCGTTTAAAATCGGTTTCAAGTCGAGCTTTTAGCGATCCAATCTCGAGTAGCTCACGAATAGCTTGGCTCATTTGCACCCCTAGTTATATCCTCTCAGGCTCTCACTTCAAAATGCAACGTCTTTAAAGTTTAAACTCCCCCCTAAATTATTATTATAATTATTATTTTCGGAACTTTAATTACCTAAAAAAAATAAAAAAAAAAGTTACTGTTTTTTTTTAAAATACGTGAAATATTCTAATAGAATATTACACTGTAAATATATTAAGGTGATTTTTAGAATGTTAGAATATTATATTATATTTCTTCGATATGTAGAATATTATATTTATTCTGCTAGAATTAGGGATGTTATTCGGGTCGGAACCGAACCGAACCAAAAAAACCGAAAACCAAATAAAGCAAATTGTATGAACCGAAAACCGAACCAAATAAGCAATACGGGTTCGATTCGGTTCGGGTATTATTTGGTTCGGTTCGGTTCCGACCCGAATAACCCAAATAACATGTGCAAGATGATTAAGGAATCGAATAACCCGAATAACGAATATTTTGTAGTTGAAGAACCCGAATAACACTTGTAGTCGAATTACCCGAATAACCCGAATATTTTGTATTACTTTTGAAGCTTATGATTTCATAAGTATATAACCCGAATAACCCGAATAACATGTACAAAATCATAACAAATCTTTTAAAGAAACAAACTAAACACTAAATATTAAACATCCAAAACACCCAAAAATCTATCTATAAGTATATAACCCGAATAACCCAAATAACATGTACAAGATGATTAAGGAGTTGAATAACCCGAATAACCCGAATAAATATTGTATTTTTTATGACTTTTGTAGCTTATGATTTCATAACAAACTTTTTAAAGAAACAAATTAAACACTAAATCGACTCACGCAAAGCCGCAAGGGAAAAAAAGACTCTTCATATTCGGTTCGGTTTTTTGGACCGAATAACCCCTTATTCGGGTAACCTGGACCGAATAACCCGAAAACCGAATAAGCCTTATATAGATACCCGAAAACCGAATCGAATTGCTTATTCGGGTCTAATTCGGTTCGGTTCTCGGTTCGGTTCGGGTTTTCGGCCCAATTTCTCATCCCTAACTAGAATATGTAAAAACAAATATTTTTTTTGGAAAATATAAATTCCGAAAATAATAATTGAAAAAAAAAATTCGAAAATTTTAAATTATTTTTCATTTTAAAAATGTTTTTTTTAATATAACAAATGAATTGTTAGGATTGCGTCTCACGTCTCATAAAATTAGGTCGTATCACATGAACCTAACCATATATATATATATATATATATATATATATATATATATATATATATATATATATATATATATATATATATATATATATATATATATATATATATATATATATATATATATATATATATATATATATATATATATATCCTCCACCCGTAATCTATTTTCATTAATAATAAGAAAAGTGAGTTACTTTAATCTCTTAATTTATTTCTATATTTTATATGGTATTAGAGCATATAAAGGAATAATCAATTGAAGCTATGACTCGAGCAGGAGAAAAGTCGGGGCAGTTCATCAATCGAGATGAGCACCATCGACATCACCTCTCATTACTTCCTTACTACTTCTGATCATCTAGGTCAGAACTTCTTCAAAGATAATATTCTCCTTGACGGGAACTTTAGTGATTGGCAATGTGACGAATGCTTTGTTTGCCAAGATTAAAATAGGATTTTGTAACGTCTCAAAAATCTAAGGTAAATATTTATTTTTAAAACAATAATTCTTACTACATTCTATTCACAAAATCATTCAAGATGAAAAATAGTATTTAAATATTAGAGTAAATATCATGACTAATCAAATGTTGAATAAATTTTGGGGATGTTGTGCAGTCACGTCAGACCCTTCCATTTCGAACTGGAGAGTACCTAAAATCATAAACATGAAACCGTAAGTACAAAACTTAGTGAATTCCACAAAATATTAGGGCTGACAAATATGTATTATGGAGAACCAACCAACATGTTACCAACCCAACCAATAAAATCGGTAGACAAGTTGTTTGGTAACCAATATGTTTGGCTGGTAATACAATGCAAATTAAATAGTATTGGTATGGTAACGATATGAAATTTTGAATACTATGGTTGTACCGTACCAACCAATTCATATATATATATATATATATATATATATATATATATATATATATATATATATATATATATATATATATATATATAAATTAATAAAAATAAATAAATATTAGTTCTCAAATATGCATGTTTTAATTGGAATAACAAATAAAAAGTCTTGGAATTAATAAATTAACACATTGATTAACAAATTTCTTGATACTTATTTTTTGAAGAGCACGAAATCGATGATACAAAAGCACATGATGCTAAAACTCAAAAGGAATACTAACTTCTCATTCCTAGTATTGTTTCCATTTGCTACCTTAGGCAATTTGCTAGGGGTAGGCCTCTTTTAATCCTTTTAGTCGCTTCCAAAAGATAAAATACTCACACAAGCAAGTGATGCAACGACCAATTGCCCACAAATTTAACTCATATTCATGTATAGGTATATATTAGTTAAATTTTTTGGTATTTACCAAGTACCAATATGTACCAACCAAATTTGTTGGTAGCCAGATTAGTTAGTACCAAGTATACTTGGTACGGTACTGGTTGTTAAATTATTATGCCAGTTATAGTTGGTACGTTACACGGTTTTGAGAAAAAAAACTTAGTACCGTACCAATTTCACCCCTACAAAATACCACATACCATACATACAATTAGGTCTAACCCATAATAATGGGCCTAGCCCTCCATAATCAATAGGCCTAGCCCAACATTCAATTAGGCCTAGCCCAACATATAATTGGGCTTAACCCGTCATACAATGGGCCTAGCCTAACATATAATTGGCCTAACCCTCTCATGCAATTAGGCCTAGCCATACATCCGTGCCCTTTGGCCCAACCCATCATGCAATGCAAGAGTCAGAAAGACAACTAACATCTTACATAACATATCCTAGTGGGCTGATATTGGTGTCTTCAATCCACGGGTACATTAAGGAGACTCACCTCTGCCTGATGTCAACAAAACACACACTCAAGCTGCTACTACCACAACTTCTCACACTAAACATAACAAAGATCAATCCTAATCAATAATTAGGGTAATAACCCAATATCAAAGGTACAACCATATCCTATCATGCTAAGGGGTAAAAGACTATTTTACCACTTCCCATACTTGGCTCAACAAAACATGGCCCAAACCCAAAATGACCCAAAGCCCAAAATGGCTTATGGTGAGTATGCCCCGCATACCACCATTGTATGCCCATCATACAACGTAATCAAAGAGAGGGTTAACAGTTTGAACCCGTTATGCACAACGTACCAGGAGGGTACACCCAGTGTAACTCGTTGATGCCAAACTCAATTCTAATCTGCTCAATACCTTAAGACTTTAAGCCCAACACCCAAATCCGATTCTAAAGGATGTCTTAAGTCATAAAGTTCATGAATTTATGACTTTTCATGGTTTAATGGTGTCCAAAATGAAGCCCTATATTCATAACTTCAACAAAAGGCCACTAACTTATGCATTGAAGATATATACCCATGAAGATTCAAATTTTATAACTTAATGACCTCACAAATGACTAGAAATGAGGCTCAAAGGTTCTAGAGTAACTTGGAATCATAAGATCCAAATCATGGGACCAAAACATGTCAAATTATAACACAAAACTAGATCTTCATAAAAGAACCAACAAGATTGAAGATTTATCCCTCTAGAAGCTTGCAAAGGTGAAGAGAGTTCTATATCTTCAAGCTCCAAGTTAACCAACATTCCTGTAATGCGTTCTTCTTCTTCCAAATGCACCAAAACACACCAAAATCACTCAAAGGCTCAATAATCTTTCAAACGGGGATAGGGTTTCGAGGTAACTACTTTAGAGGGTGGAGGATAAATGTAAAAAGGGTTTCCAATAATTTAAGGCCTTTAAATGGGGTCCCAGACACAAAAATTAGGGTTTAACCCTCGCTGGCGTACTCCCAATGTACTTCATGTACGCCCAACATATGGGGAAGAAT